GACTTCGCAGCCCAACATATCGATCCCAGAATTCGACAACTTTTACCTCGGCACCATCATAACTCGATACTGCCAAGCTGGGAGGCTAACTGTGGGGGTCGGATTTCACCCCAATGAGATCGATATGGCAACGAGATCAACTCCACAACGTCTTGACGAAAACAAAGCAAGTCTACAAGGGTCCAGTCTGAATCTAGGCCCAAAATGATATTAAATCCATAAGCAAAATGGGCTTAATTGAATAGTGGGCCTAAATTAGATATATTATTTAATGGGCCAGGTCCATTTATTAGCTGGCCCATTTACTTAGAAATATTATATATAGTCCTTCATTATCACCCAAAAAGGGGATCGGAATTCATTAGCAAAAAACTCTTGTAACAGCTTTCTTCACAGCTAATAAAAACTCTCTTGAGATCTTTGTGTTTGCTTGCTTTCCACAGAACTTTACAAACCCTAAAGAATCACTTAGATTCTAATTGTGAGATTCGACCGCCACATTGGATCCAACGAATTGTTGTGGAACAATGACGACAACGAGAGCTTGTGTTTCTATCAAGATGGAGAAGAAGACGCCGACGGGATGGGATGACGAAGTTTCTCCTTTATGGAGAAGAAATCATTCTGTTTTTTTTTTGTTTCAGAGTAGAGAGGAGGGGAGCGACGGCGGGGATATGGGAAGATGAAACTTCTCCTTTATGGTGGCCACGTGTCCTCTTTTCATAGGTTCAGTTTTTTTTTGGTTGGTGATTTATTTAATTGAGTTGTTGATATATTTAATTAGGATTGTATACAAATAATAATATATTAAAGAGGGGTAAAGAGGAGAAAATTACAAAGGAAGGGTTGTAAGAATTAGGAAGGGTATTATGAATTGTTTTTAGTTAGTTGGGGTCTTTAAGGTTACTTCCCGCACCTGCAACCAAACACATATATTATTTCAACCAAAGAAGAACACAGTCTAAATTGGCAAATACATTAGCGGGTTGATATCATCAAGCAACCTAAATTGTTTATTTGATTCGATGAATTGCTAAAAGTGATTGTGTTATCTATAAGGCCCAGTTGGACATTTTAGCAAGCACCTGGTGTGCAAACTCTAAAAACGACATTCAAAAGCTACATTACAAGTGAAAACAAGTTGGGAAGGAGAGAAATCTAACATGACTCGACGGACTGCAAACTCCACGCCAGTGAGATTTACGATTGTGATGTCGACGGTGGGATCTTTACGGCAACAGAATGTTCCCGGTGGGATATAGTTTTACTTAGGAATTGCCAACTAATCTATACTTATACTATTATATATGAAGTCGAAAATCCAATGTGGCAGCTCTACGGCGAGTTTAAGACTTGATTTGCCGAAAATATCCTTAATGAAATCTCTATTTACAAAGCGTTGCCATCAACGAATTTTTAAAATAAAATATTATGATAATATTTCTAGGGTTTCGATTTTTATACTTTGTTGGGTTTGGATCCCATTAAGCCCATCAAAACATTGAATTGCTCAGCCTAGATTTTGATCGTCCATAAAAATTATGTCGGTAAAAAAAAACCTGCCTACTATTCCTATATTTTATAAATATCAGACCTACTACCCCTACAGATTTATAGTTCGGCTACATCACTTTCTGTATTCTTTCATAGTTCCGATCTACTTTGCTCTCCTCTTTTGTCTTTTTTTGTTCGATTCTCTTCTTTTTTTCTTGGTTATATATGTGTGATTTATAGTTTTTGATATCGAATCTAAATTTTAGTCGGATGTTGTGTGTAATGAGTTTTGACCTTTAAATCTATTGTAGAGGATAGTTCTTTGAGCTTTATCACCAAAGTTTGGTGGCGGAAAAGATAAAGAAAACGTGACGACACATGGGTGAGAGAAGAATAAGATGATAAACCCTAGATTGAGA